TTTAGTGCACAAGAAGAATGGCTCCTTAGTTGGGATTGAATAAGAAAAGAAAGAGAAATGAGATTTCAGGGAGGGACTGAAACGTCATCGTAGGGGCAAAATTGCAACAGCAGCTCCTCTTACCAATCCAACTTATGTCATCCTCGTTCACTCGCTAACTCTCTTCTCCCGTTATGCATCTATTACAGTTTATTTAAGAGAAAGTCAGAGTGACTCAGATATCCTTCCTTTGGATTACAATCCGTCTGTTTTTTATCAAGCCAAAACAAGCGTGGTTTTATCAAACATTGAGAAATAGAAGAGAGTCATCGTTGTCTGGATGTGTAAGGTCAGAGGCAGGCGCAGAGTGTCCCTGAAGGAACTGAGCTGGGAGAAGATGTCCTGTCACCCCCAGGTCTGCTGGGTCTCTGCAGCAACAGCGTATGAGAGTTATTGGGGGTGATGCTACGCAGGGCTGAAGACCCAGAGAGCAAACTGAACACAGGAATCTCCTGTGCTTGTGCTGAGCTGAGCTGGAGAAATGTGTCATGAATGCAGATTAAGACCTGGAGAGAGCAAAGGAGGAAAGAAAGAAGCTGGGAGGGGAAAGCATATAGAGCTATCTCTCCATTTCCAGAATTTGCAGCATGGCCATGGCAAAAGTGTATTATATCTAGGCCAAAAATCAGAAGGTTATAGAGTTAGTGGAAATCCCTCATGGGATTTTCAATTCATAAATAAATAAATAAATAAAGGAGGGTAACCTGTGACTATGACAGTGCCTAAAACCTAAGCTCAGTCTTAGCTTTGCATGATGTTGTCCTGCATGACCTCAACGTCCCAGAAGATGAACCCCAGACTGGATGCTTGGGGTCAGTTTGGGTACATCCGCCCTGTTTTAGAGGATGGAAACTTGGCTGTATAGACATGAGTCATGTCAGGCCATTTTTCCTCTGAGATGGAAATTCTGCCCTGTGCTTTTTAATGTAGATATAGCCAATACTATCAAAATGGCATCATTTTTATTAAAATATCTTTCCTTAGTGTTAGAAGTTTAAATCAGAATATCTCTCAGTTCATTCTTTTTTCATCTGAACAAAAAAAAAAAAAACCAAAAGTCTGAATAAAAAAAAAACAGAACAGAAAGAATAAAAAAAAGAACAGAAGAAAAAGCTTTCACAGTTGAGAAAACAGAATTTTAAAAACTTTCTTCAACAGAATTTTGGGCTTTTAAGGCCCAGGTTTTTAGTTCTTTCTTTCAGATCACCAGTCCTGCTAGCGTTGACGACTGGACTTCATCTCAGCTGGAGAGTTTAATTCCTCCAGCCTCAGATTGGCATCTTTGAGTTACTGAGGCTAACCCTGATACAGCAAAGGCCTAGCACAAGGCACGGAAAATAAGCACAGTGGAAAATTAAAGAAAAGCCTTCAGCTTAGCAACTTCCTCTGCTCAGAGCTTTAAAAACGAGCAGCAAAGGGTTTCGGTGAACTGATCCTCATACCAGACTGCTAATGCCGGGAGATATTACCATTACCTTTACATGGAAAATTGCAACCCCGATTAAGGGAATTTCCCAAGATTTCCCGACAAAGCGCATGGCTCACTTGAGTACAGGCACTGATTTCCTCAGTTTCCTCTCGTGGGGGGGAATTCATCCTCTGCTTGGCAGCCTGATGGTGATTCCCAAACATCCCGAGACACAGGGCGCGGAGCAAAGATAAGTCACCCCTGGAAATTTTGAGAGGAGAAAGGAACCACTGAGCTCTTCCCCAAATGCCCTTTCCTTCCTCTGATAACTTCTCCCTCTGACCACAGCCCTTGGTATTAGAGCCATGCTGGACCTCTCAGAACCCCTTTCCCTGCTTCAAGCCACCGTATCATGTAGCTCCTGCTTCATTTTTCAGCATTTATGTCACGATGCACTTGGGAACGCAGTCGGGCAGTGTGGCAGCCTGAGCATCCAGGATCTTGCATAATGTCTCTTTGAAACGTAGGGTGACAAGTCACCTTAGTGTCTCCATGCCAGTCCTGCACAAAGAAAACCTGCTTTTACCAGGCATTATTACACCTAGCAGATAACAAGCTCTGGTGCAGTGATGATCGTTCACAGACACCTAGGGAAAATCCTTGCATCTTAGAGCAAATAAACGAGTCCAGATTCTGTTTCCCAGACCGCGTGTTATTGCCTGTGTTTTTTTCCCTGCTTTATCCTAACCTCAGTTTGCAGCACGTGGTGGCTTTGTCCTGCTCCGTGTCCCAGAGCCCGCCGTGTCCCTACATCCCTGGAAAAGGGGGTACAGGTGGTGCCGGGGGGGTCCAGCCCTGCACATGCAGCCCAAGGGGGTGCAGGGGAGGAGCGAGGTTGTGCTCCGGGGGTGCCTCTGGAGTGACCCCCCCCACGAAAGCAAAGGAGTTTTGCCCAGGAGGGATTGGGAGCAAGCGGGAAGGATGGGGTGGGGAGAGGGGGGGATGCACAGCCCATCTGACCCTCCTCTTCGCCATCTACGGGAAGGGGTCGGGGGGGGGGGGGGAACTGCCAACTCGAGAGTCACAAAGCGGAGCGCAAGTCCAGCCTCCTTCCTCCTTCCTCCTCCTCCTCCTCCTCCCAGATGTTCCCTTGTGCGCAGCCATCTGTTGAGCTCCCTCCTCCCTCCTCCTGCGGGGAAGGGGGCAGCCCGCCTGCCGGGCCAGCTGCACGGCTTGCAGGAGGAGCAGGAGGAGGAGAGTGAGGAGGAGGAGGAGGAGGAAGGGGGACACGCAGCCCCAAGCGGCGCCCGCTCCCCGCCGTGGGAACCGGCGCTGCGCGGCCGCTCCGCCCTGCGAACCGGTCCCGGTGAGTGTCCCCCTTCCCTTTCCCTTCCCCCCCAAAAAAACCCCCAAATCCCTAAGTTTCCCATTTTGGGGAAGCTGGTTGTAGAGGAAGGAGTGGGGATTGTGGAGGGCAGAGGGATGCGCGGGGAGAACCCTGGTGGGGGCCGCGGGGCCAGCGCCCCCCTCCACTCCAACCGCCCCGGGAAACTTTTTGGTGTGATGAGTTTGGCCTGAGTTGGCCCTCAGCGGCAGGCGGTGTAGGGGAACTACTCAAAAAAAATAAAATAAAAGAATAAAATAAAATAAAGCCTTGGGCATGTGGCGGCTGGGGGAGGGGGCAGAAGGAGGAGAGAGGTCCCAGGCAGAAGAAAACTACTTTTATTTATTTATTGCTCTGATTCTGAATTTTCACCTCCAGCGTTTCCAAGAGGGCAGTTTGGGGGTCCCCGATCCCCACGCCTTGTCCGGGCAAGGCAGGAGGTCCCGGTGCCGGGATCCCTCCTCACTCCTTCCCTCTTCGCCATGGAGGCTGCGGAGGGATTGCCACGGCTGCAAAGTAATCTGAGCAGCAGCTGGAGCCTCCGCGCCGCCTCCGTGCCCAGTCCGGGGCTTCGGCTGCACACAGGGCTCCCTGTCTCCCCTGCGCTCCCCCCTCGCCCTTCCCAAGGCCTCTCCTCCCGGCTGGAGCCGGGAAAGAGGCTTTTTTGGGGATGCGGGGGGAGGCTGCACCCTGCGCACCCGGCTGTGCGGATCCCGTCAGGTAAATGCATGGAGAAAGGCAGCCACGGAGGAAAGCGGTGCTTGGACGTGCTGAGCTGGGCAGGATGCACGGACAGATCGGGAAAGCCCAGAGCGGAGCGGGTCTCGTCCCCGGGAAGGGCTGGGAAGCGCTGCCTGCCTGGGAATTTCCCATCTCTCTTAAGTGGATTAAGCGGGAGACGGGAAGGTGCGTTTGGGGGAGGAGGGGATGGGAGAGGAAGAAGCTTAGGGTTGATTTGTTAGCTCCATTTCCCCTTTTTGCCCAAAAGAGAAAAATATGCTGCCGGTTTTGACTTTGGAAGCAGGAGTTTAAAAAAAAAAAAGAAAAAAAAGCCCCGGGTTCTCCTGATAACAATCCCACCCCAAAAACTTTTCCAAAGCTGCATGGAAACTTCTGCTTCATGCTTGGGCCATTAAATGCACCGAGCGCGGTGGATTTACGAGCCCCCCCCTCTCTGGACCAGGTCTGTGGTGGGAACAAAGGGACTAGGAATTCTCTCCCTCTGCCCCACGCTGGGACACCCCAAGGTATCCCTGTTAATGGATGCTCATGGGGCAAATCCCTAGCGTAAGGCGGGGGGGTGTTGGAGAGTCTCCAAAAAACCACTCCGCCAAGTCCCACGATTTGCCGGGGCGTCTGCCACGAGAAACCAGCTGCCGTGCTCCTGAATAACTGCATTCAGGGCACTTACAGTGGGAAACTTGTCCTGCTGGACACTCTGCCGTTGCTTGGCAGAAAGCTGCCAGCACCCGGCGCTGGCATCACGCTGGAATATTGCACGGGAAGGGGAAGAGCGCAGAGCGAGGAGCGGGGATGCAAAGGGTGGCTTTGGCCCCTGCTCCTGCCGCCTTTCCTTGGGGATAAAGCACTGGATCTGCTAGAGGCTGATAGATCCAGTGTCCCCAGGAGCATTTGCAGGCTGCTCAGCTGTGGTTATAAGTAGCGAGACCCTGAGCCATGCACAGATGTGAAGCAGCTCCCGTGGGCTCATCCCAGCCGGCAGAGCTCTCTCCGGAGCCGGGAATAGACCGTGGGAGTCAGCAGAGGGGCTGGGATGGACTTCCAAGGCTTGGGAATGAATGGGAGCTGCTGCTGGCAGACACGGCGCCAGGCGCGGGGACAGGGAGGTGACAGACATTGCAGGGACAGGGAGGTGACATCGCAGGGGACTTTAAATCCTTGTGGAGAAGGGGATGAGGGCGGACAAACGCAGTCGGGTGTGTGGGGAGGTCCCTCCACTCCCGGTTCATTTCGCGTCTGGATGCAAAGCCGACAGCAGCGTTGAACGGGGGGGAAGGAACCGGGAGAGAAGAGCCGTAAAACAAAAGCCACACAAAAGCTTTTGCCTTTTCTTTATTATTATTATTTTCCCCCCTTTTTTTTTTTTGCAGTATAGGCAAAAAAATCTTGTGCTCTCTCAGCCCAGAAACGGGTGCCACCTCGGTGCAAGCAAGAGCCGGGAGGAGAAGGTGAGCCGCCACTCGCAAGAGGTTTAGACTTTTCCCTCTGTCCCTAACTGCTTCCTATGTATTTATTTATTTATTTTCCCTCTCTCTGTCTCTCCTCTTTCAGCCTTTTCTCCCTCCTCCTCCTCCTCCTGGCGGCGGAGGGAGCGGGGTAGGATGCCTGTGTCTAACACAAGGCTTCCTTGTGCGGGGCCGACCCCCGGCCGGGAGCGGGGAGCGCGGCGGCGCTGGCGATTTATCAAAAGAAACTTCCGAGACGCGGAGGAGATAAGGGCTGGTTCAGCAAGCCGGTTCTTGCATCCGAACTTGGCACTCGCGCCTCTCCAGGCACGGCTCAGCACCATTCATTGTGGGTGAGCCTCGGTGTTTGCGTTAGAGTTACTAATTTTATTTATTTTTAATTTTTTTTTTTTGCTACGGGGAGCCGCTGCTGTTTCCTCGTGGAGTGTTTCAGATGGGAATATTCACCCCGTGCATCTCCCCCCGGTTGGAAACGCAGTGGGTTAGACCAACTTATCTATCTTAGCAGGAGATGTTCCCGTGTTGCAATAGCCACCCTCGAAATGTGGCCGTTGGAGCTGCGGGCTGCAATATTTGAGCGTGGGCATCTGCGGGTTTCCTTTTCCTTCCTCTTCCTCCTGCTGCTTCTTCCTCACTGCCTGCCGATGCCTCCTGATCGCTCCGTTTCATGCCGGTCCGCGTGTGTGATGGGTGGGAGAGGAGACCGCGTTGATGGCTCGGATTTTAGGGAGCGGGACAAAAATTTGGCTCTTGAAAATGTGCTGCACCATTAGGTAATATAGGTGGAATTAGATAATAAGTGTAGAAGAAACACATCACTATTGAGGACTTCCCCACTACCAAGACTTAGCATGGCCAGAGCTTTCAAGACAAGGAAGTTCCTCATAGAGATCTGGTTCCTGCTTATAGGACCAGACATGGATCCCCATAGGGCCAGGTGAGAGCAGGTGACTTGGAGACAGTGGTCTGAGTTTCACCCGTCAGGATGGAGCAGGCCCTTCCTCTAAAGCCCTTTGAAATGGGTACAAAGGCTCATTTTCACCCTGGTGCCCTGCACATCTTTAAGGCGTCTCCCAGCAGATCTCTAGGATCCAGATTTGCAGGATTACAGGGTCATAGCATAACTCTGCATCTCTCTAGTTTCACGCACTGTGGTGTGGGAAAGCCTCGCTCCTCTGGACTGTCCCCAGATGTCCCCACAGCCATGTCACCATTTCATGGGGTGCTCTGAGGTCTTGTGCCAAGAACAAGGGAACAGGGATGGGCACAGGATGGCATTGGTGGAGATGAGGAGTCTTGGATAGCCAGATGACCCTGGAGAAGCAGGATCTCCACCGGTGCCCACAGAGGGGACATTTAGAGAGTGGGAGCACTAATTTGAGAGGTATCTTAGATGCTTCTCTCCCTTAACCACCCCTCTGGAGGTCTCTTTCACTGTCACCCAGCCCGGCTGCCCATACTGGCAGGGCAAAGCAGGGCTGGTGTCCCAGAGCCTCCAGGACCCGAACTGAACGCAGTAAACGAGGACAGAGGTGGCCTTTGGCTAGAGCAGCTGCAGTGAGACCAGACATGGTGGTGGCAACTCCTCGAGAGGGAGCATCGTGTGTGGGCACCCACCAGCCACCCCGATAAAACTGGTGAGATTTGAACCCTTGCTGCAGGGTGCCCATAAACAGGGGCCTAACCCTGGCTCCTCTGGCTGCTTTGGGGTCTAGGCAGGTGGTTTGGGGCAACACCCTTCTTCCACCATGAGCTTTGCTGAGGATGAAGATGCTCCTTTCCAGATGGTGCATCCATGGATGCTCCATCAGGCAGCAGCCACCACTGCAATGGGTGTATTTTTTTTTGCTGGCATTCACTGCTTGGAGCAGTCACGTTGTGAGAGTTATCGGAGGGGGAAGGCAGGGAAGGGAATGAGCCGGGCGTCTCCAGCTGTGCTGCTTGCAACAATAACGGCCAGGATTGTATTTATTATCTCCTCGGCGGAGGGTCTGCAGCTGCACGCTGAGAGCCGCAGGAGGCAAAGAGGCCCGGCGATTATTGTGCATGGAAAAAGGGAAAAAAAAAAAAGGGAAAAAGAAACAAATAAAAAGGCTACAAAGAAGCCTGGGGCTGCTGGAGGCAGCACCAAGGGGTGCCCAGCACAGATGGGGGTACAAGGAGGTGGCAAAGAGGCCGAGCAGTGGTGTGGGGCTGGATCTGGTGTCCCCAGGGGTGATGCTGTCACCTCCCCACTTTGCCTTCCCTGCCTTCCTGAACCCACAGGGCTGTTAGGAGAAGGGCGACCTGGAAGCTCTGCTGCCTTTCAGAGAGCCAGAGCTATATGGGATCCTCTCAAAACCCTTCTGCGGGAGGTGTTGCAGTCATGCCAGGGCAAAATTCTTCTTTTTCTGGGCTTTCCTGCCACAGCAGAGTGCAGGGGAGTGCTCTTGAGGAGAACAGTGACGATGGGTTGAGACATCTGCATAGCTGAGGAGAGATGTGGGGTGAATGGTATTTGGGGGAGAAAGTTGGCACCTCTCTGGAATCTTGGTCCACCCCTGATTCTATCACCCATTACTGCATGTCCTGGATATCCTCTGCTGGGGAGAGGGGTTGTCCAGGCACCTTTTTCAAGATCTAAGGATTTTTGGCAACAAAAGGCAAGGAAGACATAAAAATTGGAGCTGTGACTCAAAGCACCTGAAATATGAATCTCTTGTGACGAGGGCTGAGACCCTAAAGAATGAGGGTTTCATCCTTCCAAGGGTGCTGCTGTGATAGGGTAAAATGCATTCAGGTTGGCCAAAACCTTGGTGACCCCAAGGAGTTGGAGCTCCTCTCCTGTTGTGCTCCCAGCTAGGACAAGGTCTCAGATGCCTGTCAGCCTCGTCCTGCCTGTGGCTGCTCCAGAGCCTTGGAAAACTTGGTTTCCTTCTGGAAATGCCAGCTCCAAGCACAAGCAGATCTCGGCGTGAGGCCAGAGAGCAAAACTGCTGTGATTTCAAAGACCGTTGGAGGTTATTTCTCCTCTTTCCCCAAGAGAAACTGCTCTAACCTGAGAGCTTCCCAGGCTGTGAGAAGGGGGATTTCAGTGCGAGCCTCTGCTGTCGCTATGATTTAATTCCTAATTTTCCTGTGCTGGATTTAACACCGAATTCTTCCACTGCCGCTGTCTGGCTGCCCAGTCGCGTCTTGCAGCAAGCAGAATTCCCAGGAGTTTGGCTGTGGTCTGCTTCCAAGATGTGACTTTTTGAGGCACGCAAATCCCAGCGCAACAGAAATGTGCTTTTTTGGGGTGTTTTTTTGTTTTGTTTTATTGTTGGGTTTTTTTGATGGTTTTTTCCTTTTCCATCACCTCTGTAAATCAGCTGGGACTTGCTCTCCAGGCTGGGAAACCTGCCCGCACAGGTTTCCTTCTGTCAAATCCAAAAATACACCCAACCGCACCTTGACTTCCTCCTTGTGGAGGTGGGGGATGATGAGGGGAATGGATTGCACAAATGGAATACGCTATTAGCTGTTTTAACCCCTGGGCCATAAATCACCCAAGGCCCCTTCCCAAGCAGATGGGATTTGTGACACTGACTGGAGCAAAAATTATTTTAATGGTGCACTATCTTTTTCTTTCATTTTTTTTTCAAGAAAATGATGACTTTTGGGGGAGTATTTAAAAAAAGGGGGGGGGAAGAGGGAAAAAGAGCCAACAGAAACTGCTTCAATCCAGCAAAAGACACTGTGTAAACCAGCAAAACAAATAGGCAGTGTCAAGCTGCTGTAGGGTTTGGAGGCACTGGGCTCCCTCTTGATCAGTCCCATATGTCTCCCATGCAGGCAGCGAGGGCCAGCGAGGGGCCCTTTGGTTTGGACTCTCCGTTTGTGAAAACACTTCTCACGCTTAGCAATTTGTCTGTCTTTGCTTGCACTAATCTTATGTGCTCCATCCCTTGTGCCATCCCTTAAACCCTCCCTGATGGATGAGGGGATGCCCTGGGGAGAAGCAGTGTCTGCTTTTCCCTCCCCAAATTTCATGCTTTTTTGGCTAGATGATGCTCTTGCAAAAGGGAGAGGTGACCCTTGGCATGTGGGAGCAGTATCTTTTGGCACTTGGTCCAGCAGGAGTCAAGGAGGAAGCTGGGATGTGCACGTGCTGGTGGAGCTTCTCCTTGCACCAGGATGGTCCCATAGCCCTGGGAGCTCTGGGGTAGATGTACCCACTGCTGGTCCCTCCTGAGCACCCTCCCTTGCCAAACCCCCTTCCCTTTGGAGGTGATCCTGGACACAGAGGTGGGAAGAGAACCACAGGAACCAAACTGCTATTGCCTTTAATATAGCCCATTACACATTGAGGGAGGAGAGCTGACTTTTTGTTCCATTCCCCAGGTTGGTGCCTATTGTATATTATTCTCCAATATCCCAGTGGCGTAGATCCCTGATACCACTGGGTTAATTACCTGTTAACGACTCCCTCTTCAGTAGTGAGATTCTCGACTGAATGCAAAGGAGACGCTTTTACACCCGTTATTAGAAATCATTAAAGCAGAAGGGAATTCATAGAGAAATCCTCTTTTTTTATTGTTTTTTTCACCCTCCTTCCCTGTATTTAATTCTGACTTTGCCGCATGAGCAGTAAGACAGAGCTAAAAGCATCCAGGCACCTGCAGAGAGATTTGAGCTCCCATTTAGGTCCTCATATGCTTGGCTGGGTCTCCCCACAGCCCACGCTTGTGCATGCTGGTGGTGGAAACTCGGTGAGGACAGCGAGAAGATGGGGTTGCACATCCCCTCACTTATTTCCCAGCAGGTAATTTGAGCTGGTTCTTCTATATCTAAGCAGCTTTGCTCTGATAAAGCCGTCTCTGATAAATCATCAGCAGAAAGCAACTTCTGCAAAGACTCTTGATGGGGTGTTTATGTTGCCCAGCTCAGTTTATAGCAGCATCAAAGAGACTAATTCGTTGAAGCCAGTCTGCAGTAACTCCACTGAGCTTCCCAAAACAGGT